TGCAGCGCAACACTATTACCTCCCCTATTCTGTATATATGTGTATACAGCAAATATAAAGTGATAAATAACAAATAATAACCCAGTAAAATTATATGGAATCATATGAAAATCCAGTCCACATAGAAAAGTCCAACAGAAAAACTGTGAAGTATTTGGTGAAAAATATATAGTAAAATAGATAGTCAAATAATACCTCCTCCTCTTCCTCTAGTGGCAAGTGTACCTCCACCGCTCACCTCATATACAGTATGTTACATACGCTCATCTGGATACTCTCCACCTCCTCTAACCAAGAACCACAATCTTCCTCCAGGCTTATTAAGCCTTCCTTGCAATCAGACAACCATCGATATCGACCCATGCAAGAAAAAGGCCATAACACAGTGATCTCTGTATAAAATGTATTAAATCCCCCGCAATAAAATTGCACTTACAAACAAAAAAATATGAAATGTTTTAAAATCAGTCCTCAACCAGCTCACCCTTCCGCTAGCAAGATGACGGCGGTGTGACGTCATGGGCTCGGCTCCTCCTCACTAGATGCATTATGCCCTCCAATAGGGCTTCTTTAGAAGGTGCCTGAGCCTTTATATAGCAACACCTACTCCCCCATGATAACTCATTGTCCATGTTTCCTAAGGGAACAGGAAGTGTGTTGGTAGCCTCGGTGCCAACCAGTAGTGCATTATCACACCTCCTGATCAGACCATGGAAGCAAACAATCACTCCCAAGACCTTTAGGCTACGTTCACACTAGCTTTGTTAGCAGGTGTCAGACAGGCGGTTGCGGAGCGTTAATACCATTTAACTTCATTATAGGCGCTTGTGGTGCGGTTTTAACGCTTGGCAAACGCCTATCAACCACCTCAAAGCCATGCATAGGGCATTTGAGGAGCGTTAAAAACACTTTCCAAACACCTGTCTAACACCTGTCAAATGCTATAGGGGCGTTTGGCAAGAGTTAGAAATAAAGTCAAGTGTGAACGAGCCCTTAGAATCTAATACTCTGCATTTCCAGAAACCTCAGATCACATTGGTGTACATGAAAATAAAACGCCAAAAGACATAATATCCACTGCCAAATGCACATATAATAATAATAATAAAACTTACAAAAAATATACAGAGTCAATACATACAAGTCAATATATATATATATATATATATATATATATAAAAACATATAATTATAAATAAATTCCCACTTCTCAGCTATTACTAATAAAACAATATATGGCTTGCCAAAGTAATTTACCTGGCCTGCCCGTCATTCAGAGCCAGCGGTTTTCCTAGGGGCGTGCGCGGGGGGGGGGGGGGGTGGAATCGCACCCGGGTGGCACCTGCCAGAGGGGTGACACCCAGGGCTGCCAATCCGATTGCCTCTGCCATTTGCTGTCACTAACACAGCAGAGCAGAAAGCAGGAGGCAGAACACTTTGCTGAAAAGAGGGTGGGAGTTGCTGGAATTAACTTTCCAAGTTAACCAGCTGGTGATTGGTAGCTTGTTAATATGAAACATTAACTCCGGCAGCTCCTGCCTTCTATTCAGTGCTGCTTTCTTATGCTCTACATGCCAAGCAAGGTAGGAAGGGGCAGAGCTGCTGAGGCGATGTAATGTGAAGAAGGGGGAATAGATTCAAGGGCCTGTGTAATATGAAGTGGGCTGTGTCAATACACAATAAAGGGGGCTGTGTAATGTGCAAGCAAGATGTGTACTATAAAGGGGCCTGTGTAATGTGTAGGGGTCTGTGTAATGTAAAAGGGTCTGTGTAATATACAAGGAGGCTGTGTAATGTAAAGGGGTCCAGAGGTGCAGGTGCTGTGTAATAAAAGGGGGGGGGGGGGCAGTGCAAGGGCTATGTAAAGGGGGTTTTCCTGCATTTTACCCACAGTTAGACCTGCAATCCTGTAGATTTCTATTAGATTGCACATTTTCTGAAAGCACACCAAAAGTCCCACGTGATGCATTTTTTGGCGTGCAAAAAAGATATGTGGGTGTGCATAGGAATTTGTTCATATTTTTTTTCAAACTATAGTCCGGCCCCCCAAAAGTCTGAGAGAGAGCAAACTGACACCCTGTTTAAAAAGTTTGAGGACCCTTGCTATAGGAGATAAAACTTTTGTTTCGAAAATCCAAAAAGATTCGCTCTGACTTAAATGCCGGATAAAGTTACCCCCCCCCCTTCCAATGTTTACTTATTTTTTCCACCCCCCAAAATGTCAATCCTTTGGGAATCTTCCATGAACATTCCTAAAATGCTTAGAGACACTATGGTCCTTTTTCAATAATAATAATAATAATAACTAGAAAAGGTACAATTTCTGGGGAAATTGTGTGAAGTGTTCTTGCCTCCACCAGTAGTCTACAACTGGAGTGGGCGGAGTAACTGGGTGGAGTATCTTTTGTCACTCTGCTGCCTGCTCACACACCTGGGTTCCTGGCAACTCACTCTACAGCAAGGGCAGAGGAGCGGTTAAAAACAAACTGCTCCAACTTGCTCACTTCACTGGCGGTTGCCATCTTCAAATGGTTGTAGTTTTAAAATTATAAATTCTATACCGAAGAACTTTATATTGTGAGAATCACAAGACCCAGACCTACATTTTGATGCATAGTATGTCTCTGAAATATTAAAAATGAAGGCACAGTCGCAGTTTAGAAATTGCCCTTCAAATTTGAGGTGGCTAGAGTGGAGTTTCAATGAATGTCAATGGGCGGCATGAGTTGCAAACAAATGGTCATATTGTGAAAACTATCAGGACTATGTCTTAGCCATGGACATTTTTAGTGGCAGCAGGGATAGCTGAACATTATAAGATTTGTGTAGGTGGGCTTGAAAATGAGGGAGTGATGGCAGTTTAGAAATCATGTCCTGATTTTTCAGCTCACACTTTAGCTTTTGTCAGCTCACACTCTAGTTTTGAACATTGCACCATTCCTTCCCTATGGGACCAATTTCACCACAAAAACGGCGATATTTCATGAACCATTCGGCGAAATGTTCCACAAAGTAATAGCACACCAATCTTGAACAATCCACACGTTTCGGTATATTACTATGTAGTGTAAAAACTGTGGGAGGAGTTAGGGTGGTAAATTTGGCTATAATAATAAGAATATATATGTGAGATAACAGTAAGTGGTCTTGCCATGCAAGAACACTTAATAATATTATGCTCAAAAATTCTTATCTGTAATGGTCTAGAACTAGGTCCAACATATTGGAACGAGCATGGGCATTCTAACATGTAAATAACCCCCTCTGTGGTACAGGTAATAAAGTCCTTTATTCTGTATGCCCTTCCTGTGGCCCTTGCAACAAATTCCTTGACTTTCTTATTAACCTTAGACATTCTACATGCTAGACATTTCCCACAGGTATAGAAGCCCCTCAGATCCAGGACCCCATCACTCTTGGTTTTAACCAGAGTGTCTAACATACCTGGGAATATTATATTCTTAAAATTTGGAGCCTTTTTATAAACAAACTTCGGATGTGGTGGTAACACATTCCCCAAGATTTTATCTTTAAGTCAAATGTTCCAATATTTTCTAAAGATGTTTTCCATCTTTTTCCATTGTATATTATAATCTAGTACAATTCTGTATTCCTCTCCTGTCCCTTGGCCCCTAATCCCACCATTATTATCCTCAGTGAGCCCCTTTTCATCTAGATTCTTTTCATAGCCTTTCTGGACAAACATAGCTTCAAAGATCTCAAATTGCTGCAAAAATCCTCCATGTTCGTGCAGTTCCTTCACAAACAAATGAACTGCCCCTTGGAAATGTTAAAAAGCCAAGGTTTATGATGACAGCTACTGTATCAATGGCTATATATCCGTTTCTATCCGGTGGCTTGCAGTAGTTCTCCGTATATATACCACCCTCTCAATATGAAATTTCCAGATCCAGAAACACTATATTAGATCTATCATATTCCATGATAAAACAATGTTTTTGTTATTGGAATTTAACTTATCCATAAAGGAAAGGAGACTGGTCTCAGCAAATCATGAACAAGTCATCTATTATACAGTAAATAGGCTATTGTTCTTTGAAAACCGCTTCTTCCTCCCTGTGGGCTAAAAACAAATTGGCCACACTGTGAGCGAAGCAGGCTTCCATGGCTACTCCAGTAGTTTGTAAAAAGCTAATTAGACAGCCTCACAAATTCAGGGCTGTCCTTATGAGGCTCAACTATCTCCTTTCAGTTGCTCTATTTGTGTATCCAGATTCTTAATCTTAATTTGTTTACGTTTAAACAAAAATTTTAATAACTCAATCCCTTTTGTGTTAAAAAATTGTACCAACCATTCAGGGACTCATCATCATTTAAGTCATCATTTGGTGAGACATCCCACCTCAAACGGTGTGAAACCATATTGGCAGCAATATGTCTATCAAAAGTGACCATATCTCACCATGCTTGTGTATTTTTTCCGAAAGCATGATTCAATTTCCTAAAAGGATGATTTAAATCTCCTATTTTGTTACCGTTCCTATCCCCTGAAAAAAACTTAATACAAATCAACATTCCTTTGTTCAAACATAGTGAAAACATCCATTATTGCTGCTGATTGTATGTGAAATATCATGCTCAAAATATACAAATATTACAAATCAACAACCTGCTACTAAAAATCAAAAAATGATCTCCTGTATAAACAAAAGCCTCCTGTATTAGAGTACCTCCACTCTGGATGAAGGAGCAACAGGGACACCTTTGGACAGCAATACTGTCAGTCTGGGGGGAGGGGAGTGTTACTTGTACTAGCAGATTTAGACACATTAACAAATTGAAGCCACACTTCTGCTAAGACTAGGTTCACACCTATGTGTTTTTAGTGCATTTGCAGATCTGCAGAAACACACCATAGTCCATTTAACATTTCCTAGTGGTCTAGTTCACATCTATGCAGTTTCCTGCAGTGCATTTTTGGAAAAGGTGCAGGGTTAACTTTGAGCTGTATAGACGTCAATGGAACTGCATAAAAAATGCATTAAACATGCAGTAGCCTCCCTGGCGGTATTCCAGAGTGTAGCTCGGGGTAAAGTTTCAGTACCACAAGTGGTAACCCCGAGATACACTCAGGCTTACCATGCTCTGGGATCCCTCGATCACTTACCTTGTCTTGCGCTCCCGCGATGTCCCTCCTGCAGTGTCCCCTGTAATGTCCTCCGGCATCTGTCATCTGGGTTCCGTCCCCTGCGAGCGTCGGGACGTACAGGGATGGAACTGGGGCAGCACAGTGGCTAAATGGTTAGCACTTCCACCAGGCAGTACTAGGGTCGCTGGTTCAAATCCCGACCAAGGCACCACCTGCCTGGAGTTTGCATGTTCTCCCTGTGCCTGCGTGGGTTTCCTCTGCGTACTCCAGTTTCCTCCCACTCTCCAAAAGACATGCTGATAGGTTAATTGGCTCCTGTCTAAATTGGCCCTAATATGTGTATGTATGGATGTGAGTTAGGGACCTTAGATTGTACGCTCCTTGAGGGTTGGGGACTGATGTGAATGTACAATATATATATGTAAAGTGCTGCGTAAATTGACGGCACTATACAAGTACCTGAAATAAATAAACTGGTGGGAAATTTGAAAATGACAAAAAGTGACATTCACCAAATTCACTAAAATAACATTACTGTATCAATCCATTTCACATACATTTTGTCCCTAGTGCTTTGTCCTGTGCCCTGCCTACATTTTTACTGTTCTTTCTGACTGGAAAGTGAGAAATGTCCATGGCGTCCAAAAACCGTCCCTTTAGGTCAAAATCTGTTTTAGACCAGCTAGAGAACAGCGATAGTAAATTAGAACTACTTGCAGAATTGAGTGATAATGATTCGTGGGGAAATTCGTCATCAGACACTGAAAACGATTTTGCGACTTTGCTCAGTGATGTGCGAACTTGGCGCTATATTTCAAATTTCAGTGTTTTTGGTTTGATTATATTATTGAATTAAATTTATTATTATATTATTATTTTTTATGATTATTTATTAAATTATAATTTATGATTTCGTGTTTAAAATTTTAACATACCCGGGATGTTTACTAGACTCTTGTTCGGTCAGATTTCAGTGAGTTATTACTAAAAATTACAGGCCTACAATAAAAAAAATACATATTTCCATGCAGAAAAATGTACCGCTTTGAGCACAGAAATATGGACATAATCAGACCGCTAGGGAAGTTAAAATGCATCCAGATTAATTTTTTGTAAGGTTTTGTATTTAACAGTCTCCTCATACAAAAAAAAATGCAGAAGCATGAAAACACATCAAAAACATTGCCGCAAAAAATGCATCAACAGCACACTCATAGATGTGAACCAAGCCTTACACTTTATAAGCAATTACTTTTGTTCGTTCTGGGATAAAGTTTTAAATCAATAAAAGTTGATCATTATAAGCACCCCTGTCAGTGGTAAATGGTTTGTCTCAGCCCTCTAACTGCTACATCTGCAGGGCAGCTCGTTCTATTGAAAAATAACAGACTTACTAGTTAGATCACCAGGTGCAAGTAAAAGAAGGAAAGCCTAAACAATAAAACAAATGCAGGCATCATATCTAAGAATTGGTAAGCTGCAACATGATAAGTTTGCTTTTCATTTTAAAACTATTTACATATAAATTATTTTTTACATTTCCTTGAAATATAGGTGACTGCTAGCTGGAATTGTTATAAAAAATCATATTGCATACAATAGTGAAAATATTGAACAGCTACAAGTATAAATGTGTAAAATCCCATCAAAATTATTTATTCTGGCTATTGTTGCAATATTAACTAAGAAATTGTATTTTCGGGATGCAGTATAATATCTTTTTATGTATGCCCATAAGGATGCAGTCATTTTTTGGTTTGTTTGTTTTTCAGGCCACACTCAGACGACTGTCAGAACCTGTAATAACTGCAGAATTAAGATATACTCTCAATGCTTCTGCACTTCCGCCTATACTACGCAGTGTGAAGCCGACAGCTCATGTGGGAGCGTCAGATATTCAATTGGTAAAATTATTCTGACCTCAGATTGCATTAATAATATTTTCAAGAACTGTACTTCCAATTACTACCTATTTTTGTTGTAAACATATTCTGGGTAGACCATGCCGATGTAGCCGCTGAATGTTTACAAAATGAGTACCTGGTAAGAGGTTCTGTATTAAAGGGCATCATTTTAAAGCCACGCACAATTGGTTCCATAATTCTTTGCCTGTTGGATCATGCAATTATAAAGCAGTTTTGCCATCACTGAATCAAGTTTTGTTAACTTCCCATCTGGAGTTTCAATTTCCAGGTCTAAGTAAAGTTATAGTACAAAGAATATGTTACAGATGATAACCCTGGTGGGCGACGTGGGCCCACCCAAGGTGCGGAGTTCAAGTAGCACCTTGGTCTTCACCAGAGCACCCCCCTCCCCCCCCCGAACCAGTGACAGCAGACTGTCACATGTAGTTAAGTCGGAACTTCACTCTATAGGGAATGTTCCGCTTTATGTCACGCTGACAGCTCGAGAGGAGAGCTGGTAATCGGCTTTCCGCGGAGGGGACATGTACACTGATCATCAGGGCACTGATGATCAGTGTGCTCTGATGATCAGTGTGGCCCCAGAAGTGTCACCTGTCAGTGCTCATCAGTGCCAGTGCCCATCAGTGCCATGTGCCAGTGCCCATCAGTACCACATTAATGCCACATATCAGTGTATACTAGTGCACATCAATGCCACATATCAGTGCCCATCTGAGCTGCCTTTCAATGTCACCCATCAGTGCCAGTCAGTACCACCTATCAATACCAATCAGTGCCACCTATCAGTGCCACCTATCAGTGCCAGTCAGTGTCGCCTATCAGTGCCAGTCAGTGCCGCCTAACAGTGCTAGTTAGTGCCGCCTAACAGTACCATATATCAGTGTCATGTATCAGTGCTGCCTTTCAGTGCCCATCAGTGATGCCTGTCAATACCCATCAGTGCAACCTACCAGTGCCTCCTCATCAGTGCCCATCAGTGCCACCTATCAGTGTCCATCAGTGCAGACTATCAGTGCCCATCACTGCAGCCTCATTAGCGCACATCAGTGAAGGAGAAAAATCACTTATTTACTAAATTGTATAACAAAAACTAAGAAAAAACATTTTTTTTTTCAAAATTTTCAGTGGTTTTTGGTTTGTTTAAGAAAAAATAAAAATCCCAGAGGTGATTAAATACCACCAAAAGAAAGCTCTATCTGTCTAAAAAAAATGATAAAAATGTCATATGGGTACAGTGTTGCATGACCGCGCAATTGTCATTCAAAGTGTGACAGCGCTGAAAGCTGGAAATTGGCCTGGGCAGGAAGGGGGTATAAGTGCCCTGTAGGCTAGTGGTTAAAGTCCAGGCAGAGGATGAGGTAAGAAGCAGGCAAGAGATTAGGAAGCAGAGATTTGGCAACAAAGGCAGGATATAAAGGCAATATCAGGTGTTCTGGGTGAGTAAGGCAGACCAATGGCAATCTCACAAGGGAGGCAAGAAGTCACAATGCCAGCCATCATAAGCAAAGAAGTTCAAATACCCTTCTTGGTCCATGTGCTCACCCAGCATCATACCAATTCACACTCACAGTCAGGCCCCTTGCACATGGGGTTGGCTGCTGTGCATGCCACCTGGCATTTAATGCACCCAGGAGGAATAGGTGCAGTATCCAGCCCCTGTGGGCATTCGTCCCTGAATACACAGGTCCTTAAACACGACTTTTATGACAGGCTAAAATACATTTCAGCTGGACTCTGTACAGTTGAGCTATTCACCAGTTGATACAGGCTATGCTTCCTTTGGAACTCAACAGAAGACATTTTAAAAAAGCCCTTTTTTCCAGAATAAAAATTTGGAAGCAGCTAATGTCACTGTAATGCTAAGTACTGAAGTACTATTTATTTTTCTGGAATGGAGTAGGCACCCACACTGCCTGCACTGCATGGGTTAAATGCTTGTTTTGTTTTTGGGGATTGGAAAAAGTATAAATACTTACCTGTAATAGAATGACAAATCCAAACATTCCATTCTGTTAGTATCAACCAGGCAGACCCTTACACTACATAGCTGATGGCAAGCAAGCACAACAGAGTGCGCAGACTAATTGTAGTGGGTAGCTTACAATTTCTCACAAACAAAAAATTTGGCAACTCACATGGAGATGAATATAAAATACTTATCATCAATGTCAGGAGGGAGTTTCTTCCAGGCAGGGCATCAAAGGCAGTCACAGTAGAAACACTGGTGTTGAGTGGAGAGACACCTGTAGTAACTGAGAAGACAGCAAGAGTGCGCCAATCTAAGTGCAGTAGTAAAGGAAGTGAAATGGCACAAGATAACAGGCAACTCACTCAGGTCACATCTGAGAGCTAAAACACCTCCACTGTTAGGTAGTGTTGTGGTATCCCAGGAGACCCGGCAGCCACAAGGGAGGAAGCTACACACTACGTTCGGTAGAATGCAGATGAAACTGGAAATTATGTAACCGGAAGTGACATTACAGGACATTAGAAGGCCTGGATATGTGTTTCAAGGCATTTCCACCTCTTTATCAAGCCAGGAAAATGACACAAGGGTGAGCTGTATTTATACTGTGGCCAGGCATGGAACTACAAGGCCCAGCAATGCGAAAATGAATGTAAAATAAGTACAAACCATGAGTGTCAAAACATATTGCTAATAAAAAGTGGAAAACACAGTGTGAGCAAATAAGAATTGAAAAATAAAAAAATATATACAAACCAAAACGATGGAGAGGGAATGATACAAAACATCATGTATAATACTAATTGGAGTATGTAATAATCTATATAAAACCAGGGGGTGCCATTAAACCAAATCCAAAAAACATAAATGGTAAATTCAAAATACAGTATATCAGCCTGGGAGTTGTGCTTTGTTTTTGTGAACTGTAGGCAAATGATAGAAGTAGGGAGGTTGGAACATATGTTTAAACAGGAAGGCATGACATTGTTATACTTCCTCAACACAAAAGGCGTGACATCGGTACCAAAAATCATTTCAAGCCAACAGCAGGCAACTTGTATCTTCATTGTACAAGTTGCCATCACCCAAAATGGGTAAATAAACAACCCCAAAAGCTAATATTGTCGCCTCAACCACAATTGTTCGCACCAAAAGATCTCAAGTTGAAAAGTAAGGTTCCAAAATCCAAATTTTGTGATAAGGGCCATACCTCCAAGTTTATAGAAGATGCCTACAGGCATTATCTCACAAGGTCAAACACTGAGAGGCCTTAAAAAGAAAGCGATCAACCCATCAGATTTGTCACTCAGTGCCATAAGCAGTACATACAGATGGAGAGAATTTTCTCAAAACATTGGTTTATCCTATTACAGGACCCCATAGCAAGACCTTCAAACCCAGGCAAGCCATAATTATCCTATAAAAGGACCACTAACCTCAAAGGTAAAAATTGCATGTAGCAAGATCTTGTACACCCCCAAACCCATCATACAACCTGGTAACCTATTTGGTAACTTGATCGGTATGTACCATTTTCCTAAACTGTTCATCCTAGTACATCATCTACTGCCTCGCATGTCCTTGTGGCCTTCTATACTTTGGAAAGACCATAAGGACCCTGAGGGTCTACGTGTGTGGGCCTTTGAGTCCATTCCACCAACATTCTCCATCGGAGAACACTTTAAGAGGCTCTGCAGAAGGAAGACATACTGTACTTTTTGACCGAATTCCCTCAATGAAGAAATCAAGATTAACACTTAACATTTAACATACTTGTGTCCAGGGGCGGACTGACAAATCATGGGGCCCCGGGGCAATAGGGGATCATGGGGCCCCTGTGTCCTTGCCCAAACTCAAAAAAGCCTATGAAAAAGGTACCAGAGGCATCTCATGGGGCCCCCTACTGACCCCGGGCCCTCGGGCAGTGCCCGAGTTTCCAAATGGTCAGTCCGCCCCTGCTTGTGTCTCCAAAAGTGTCCTCCTGTACTTAGCATCACTAGGATTGCCATTCAGTAGCTTCAGTGGAATCCTTACCTCTGATTATGATTTATTATGTATTACTATGACTCCTTACGCATTGTCTTTTTTTAGTTATTTCATTTTCTTTTATTTTTCATCCTTTCACATCCCTGTTTTAGTCCAGTGTGCTTCCTGTTCCCTCTCATATATTTCCAATTTGAGCATAACAGCTTTTTATGCATTGTGTTGTACTTATTGACACTATTGGCTGTATACATCAGTGCCCTCTTGTGCTTCCAACTAACTATTACATTCCATTTACAAACTATTTAAATCAATGGTAATACATAGTTTCGATAAATTTTGAATTTACCATTTATGTCCTATATTTTTGGCTTTGCTTTAAATAGATTATTGCATACTCTACTTATTAATATTATACATAGGGTTTTAATTTGACCCCCCCCCCCCCCCCCCCCCAATAATTTTGGTTTGTATATTGTAGTATTTTTTCATTTATTATTTGCTCACATCGTATTTTCTACTTATTATTTGCAATATGTTTTGACACTGTCATGGTTTGTACTTGTTTTACATTTAATTTTCACACTCCTGGGCTTTGTAATCCCATGCCTGACCACAGTATAAATAGGGATTACCCCTGTGGCATCCTCTTGGCTTGATAAAGAAGTGGAAATGCCTTGAAATGCATAGCCACACTCACTAGTGTCCCGCAAAGTCACTTCTGGTGATGTTATTTCCCGTTTCATTTGTGCTCCACTGAATTCAGATCTGAAATTCCTTCTTTCTTCCCCATGGCTACTTTGATTAAATAAAACATATACTGCTCAAAAAAAATTAAAGGAACACTTTGAAAACACATCAGATCTCAATGGGGAAAAATAGCATGCTGGATATCTATACTGATATGGAATGGGTAATGTGTGAGGAATGTAAGGATGCCTCATCACTTGATGGAAATGAAAATTATCAACCTACAGAGGACTGAATTCAAAGACACCCAGAAAACCAAAGTGAAAAAATGATACAGAAG